TGGACTTTGATAGCTTTCTATATAGGAAATTTCAATGGAAGTCAGGTATTATACTACCGTATAGTAAACTAATTGGAAAAGTTTCCTTTTATGCGATTGGGAATTAAACAATATATTTTTCTTATATTTCACGTACTTTCATACTTTTCCGGCTGGGCGCGGTCAGTAAATCTTATCCCATCGTCACCAAATTTTATAATAGAAGGCCAAAAGCACCGTAGAGGTGTCACGATAAGAAAGGTGGTGTCGCCAGTTGAAAAAGGTTGGGAACGACTGGTCTACCGCATTCAGTAAGAGCTTGTCTACGTATCATCGTTTAAAGTACAAAAATCCCATTTAAAGCTAGTTTTATACGTAAATCGATATTTTCGTGCGTATGGATAAGGCTTCAAGCCGGAGCTTCCGGTGAGCAAATTTTATTTTTGGCACAAATGTCAAGTTTGCGGTTTTGCAGAAGGACGAAACGCCGTTTTATACTTTAAACGACGATATTTATTTAGGTAACCTTTGATTTTTCACAAAAATAAAATTCATTTAAAAATTGGGGCACACCCTTTAATTCTTTTCAGGCAGCTTCTTAAGCATAATAAGTACATCTGCGTTACTCGTTTTCAAAAAAGTTCATCAAAAATCACGATTTAAAAAAAGCATTTTTTGAGTATGCCCCTTCAATTTTAGTACCATAAGGTGAATTCTCTACAGAATACCGTTGATTCTTTTTTTTTTTTGACGGTGTTGAGGATTTTCTTCCACATATCGTCACCTTTATGCCAGAAGCATGAATGTGGAAATTTATCAGTTTTGAGTTGTTGAGTTTATTAACCTTTGGATGTTCTATGTTATACCAAAAGCCAGAATAACCTGTGTACACGAAAACCACATATTTTACAATTTCAATTGTATAAATCTAGAGTTAAGTATTGTGAAAAAACTTTCAAACTTAATTTGCCAAAATTTTAATTTTTACACATTTATGTTTCTGGCATACGGGCGACGATGTGTAATGAATGTTCGTATTTTATTTTAACGTTCGCATTTTATTCAATACCGTTCAATACATTGATCGGTCAAGGTTTAGATGCCTCAAAAAATTATATACAAAAAAAACTGCGAAAATTCCCGATTACACAAAATCGAGTATCGCTACTTTGAATGCTGATCATTATGAAAGCAAGCAAAGTTGAAAATCTTATTAACTACATATGTACTGTGAATATGTAGAAAATCCATAGCATTGTCAATGGTTAACTGCCCACTGTGAATGTGTAGTATACATATAAATTTAAATAGTTCATATGTATATGGAAGTAACAACTCATTTTATACATACAATGTACATACATACATAGTTGCAAATGTTATTATTTTCTATTCAGCATGCAAACTGCTATTAGGTTGAATTACTCCGTTTTTTTTTTAGTCAATTCTGAGTTATTTGCATTTTTTTGCCATTTTTCCCCAGCATTTGTTCATTTTCTTTTATGTTTATAGTCTAAACTTGCATAGCGTTTAGTATATAATAATTGGTTTGTTTCTCATTATTAAAGTGTGTACATACTTACCATTTTATTAACATTATTCGCAAATATTACTTTATCGTAAACAGTTTATTGCTGTACTACCAAGGTTGTTTGTATGTATGAGTACCTTTATTGTTATTCGAGTGTTAATTATCAGTTTCATACATACATATTATAAAGTACTTCGTCATATGCACTTGCAGTTATACTAAACGTTGCAATACTAGGTACATACATATGTACATACAGTGACTCAAACAAATGACCACGTCTTGATTTTTTTATACCCGAGCGCACTTGCGCACAAGTGTATTATAACTTTGTTCGCATAACGTAACAGCTAAAACGAATGAAGATAGATATAGACAAATGTATACAAATGTATCAGAATGAAAAGAGAAGTCGATTAAGCCATGTCTGTCTGTCCGTGTACACGATAACTCGAGAAAAAATTTAGATATCTCAACGAAATTAGGTACGTGGGTTGGCCTTTATCCAAGGTAGATTGGTATTGAAAATGGGCGAAATCGGGCTGTAAACACGCCCACTTCCCATATAACGGTATTTTCGAAAATGCAAAAACTGCGATATTTCAGTAAATGTTACGTCCAAATCGTTGGAAATTAGTATGTGAAGTATAATTTGGATACCAAATAATACTGTTATGAAATTTTTGGATCTCAGTAGCCCCTTGACCACTCCTTACAAAACTTGGTACTAGCCTTGCATAAGTTCCAACTAAGAAATGTGTGGAAAATCTTTGAAATCGGGCGGTAATTGAGCCCACCTACCATAAAACGGTATTTTACAGAAATTCGAAATCTTCGATAACTCAGTAAATACTGAAGCTAATTTATTTAAAGTGGATATTTGCAATACGATTTGCAGAAAATACGTTTATGATAAAATTTTGGAATTTGGCACCGCCCACTTATGATCACATATATGTATCTCGGTAACCGTTCGATCAATTTGCACCAAACTCGGTACGGTTATTGAGCTTGCCACATAAAAGCAAAACGTTGAAAATGATTGAAATCGAACTAAAATTTCGCCCACTTTTCATATAACGGTAAATTTCAGAAATGCATGAAATTTCGCGATTTCGAAATTTAAGGACGCTTATTTACTCAAAATTGATATTAACAACAATCCCTTGAAAATAAGTAACATTATTATGGTATTATGGAATTTCGGAAAATGGGCGTGACACCGCCCACATATAACTATATAAGTTTATCTCATTATGTCTAACTGAACGTTCTATAGAAGATGTTTGAAGTAGGGGTAAAACTACGACTGCTTACCATGTAGCCATAGTTTTCGGAAAGGTGAAAAAACAATATTTAATACTTACGCCGGGTATTTAATGTTCGGCTCCGCCCGAACTTAGGCTTTTTTACTTGTTTAATATTCGTAATACTTTTCGAGCTAAATTTTTTTGTTATTTTTCTATAAACATATCGTCCAAGCTTTACCCAAAAGCATACATCTACGTATGTAAATCACTGTTTCAAACTTTATACAAAATTTAGGAAAACTCAACAAATTTTCAACTTTTTAATCTGAAACATTAGAACATTTTTGGGTATGCAGTTTTATAGCCCATACAATTTTAGGCAAGTGAAGGGCAAGTTTCAACCGGCTAAAAAATCGCGTTTGAAACTTGCACTTCCTTAGATTAAATATAGAATTACATCGAATTAAAATACAGAGAAAGGCCTGCTCTGCGCTGGAAAGGCCAGGTGGAGAAAGACTTGGCTTTACTTGGCATTTCCAATTCGCGTCAGTTGGCTACATCAGATTTCCTAAGCCTCAACCTACGTCGATGCTATTGTAGTCGAAGATATCACATATAAATGTGGAGACTCAAAAAATTAAAATCAGTTTTGTTCGTCAAATATCCAAAATTGATGCTATAATTGCCGAAGATATCACATATAAATTTTGGTCCCGATTGAAGTCGGGTAAGGCGTGTCGCACAGGGTTAAAGTGTATGTTTTGGTGGTTACTAATTTGAATACATCTAAAGAGAGTATTCACAACATTCTTTGTGAGTAAAATGTGGGATCTCGGAACTGCCGGGCAATTATGGCACCTGTCTTTCAACTCACCACAGTCTTTCGTAAGCCAATTGTCAATTCTGTCAACTACATGTGTTGAAAGCTCTTCTCGGTCTTTCGAAAGATTGATAACGAGGCGATCTTAGCGTTATTTTTTTAGCAATAAGTTTTCTATTGCTTTTAGCAATAAGTTTTCTAAAACTGAAATTAAATAAAAAACAAATATTTTTTTAACCATAAAAACTAAAAATTAACAGCTAATTAAATTAGAAAAGGAAAAAATTATATAAATGAATAAAAAAAAAATAAAATAAGTTTCTAAAAATTAAAAAAAATAATTTTCTTTTTTAACAATAACATCTAAAAATTACAAGAAAATTAAATAAATAAAAATATTTTTCTTTTTAAAAACAAAATCTAGAAATTAAAAAAAAGTAATCTAAGGCTGGTAAAGGAAAAAAATTCTAAATATTAAATGAAATTAAAAAGTATTTTTTTAACAATAAAATCTAAAAATTAAAAAAAAAATTAAAAAAAACTTGTTTATAAGAACGCAAAGAGAACGCTCTGTCTGATCGTCGCTGAATAAAACAACATTTATTAGAGAGGACCTCTGTCAATTACTTTATTTTACTATTATTTTTTGTGACTTCCTTAATATTAATTTTAAGCTAACACAAACTGTTTAATACAATTGACTCATGGCCATAAAGAGCTGAAATAAATTACAAAAACGCTTTATTTATCGCCCTGACGAAGTGGTTATGATAATCAAGAGCCCAATTGTTTTAAATTCGCAGCAACGAACTAAACAATAGAAAGAAATAGTCACACTTTGCGGTACCAAAATTGAATTATCAACGTTGAAAAATTCCACCAAGTTTGTTTATTTGTGAGTTGATAGCGTGATAAAGTGATTTAATTGGCAAAATTTAATTTGTTGTGATTTGTTTGTGATTCAGTTTAGGTAAATTGAGAGAGATTGAATTAAAAGATATCCCTATGGGGTTGACACCAGCTACGATAGGGAAAGTGTCAATCAGGCAGCACGGAAGCTAAAGTCAAAGCTTTTCAAGAGCACAAGGTCGTAGTAATAAACCTATTTTCGCTATTTTCCACTTGTTGGTTGCTCGCAAATAGTATACCCACAAGCAAGCACAGCTCAGCGGATATAATAAAAGTTGAATGCAATGCAGTGCTATAGAGTTTAAGTGCTCTGAGCCATGGGAGATTCATTCCCTTCCTAATGTTGCATCCAACTGCGGCGACACTGTTGGGGTGACATTATAGCACGCGCCTATTAAGCGCTCAATTGAATGATATACACGGAATAGTTAGCGATATTAAGGCAATATCACGCATAATAATTTATAATGACGAACAATTTTTGTTTTCTTCTCTCTTTTTTTAATTGTAGAAATTTACCGATGGCATCACAAATAAGCTTGTCGGCTGTTTCTACAATCCTCCACTACCCACAACAAACAATAATGGCAATGATATTGAAAACGGCAGCTCAAATGGCAACAATAATACACCCACTTCCCCGACTGCACCAACATCGACGCTGGTCGATGACAACAACGACTCGGGCAATATCAGCGATACGGACACGCTGGATTCAGAGGTGACCACGTCAAGTGCTGGCGAAACAGCTAGCCCCCCACAGGCAACTAATATCAATACAAAAGATGAAAACTATAGCAACGTAGCACTGGTGCGTGTCTATGGTAATAAAACGGACCTGCTGATCGATCGTAAAGCCGAGACACGCAACATACAGCTGTTGCACACGTACGGTTTTGCCCCTACACTTTTCGCAACATTCAAAAATGGACTGGTTTACGATTTTGTACCTGGTGTAACATTGAAGCCGACGAGTGTATTGGAGCCAAATGTTTGGCGTTTAGTGGCAACACGCATGGCGGAGATGCATCGCCGTGTGAAGGTCAAAGAAGTGGCGACAGCTGGTGGTGGTGGTGAAGGTGCTGGTGCTGGTAAACCCCTTGTACCAATGTTGTGGCGTAAAGTGCAGAGCTTCTTTGATTTGGTACCTGAACGTTTTAGTGATGCTGATAAACAAAAAAGGTAATTTCAACCGTCGAAATACGAAATTTATTTCGTCACATGCCAACTCATTATTTTGTAGGCCATCCCAACCCCAAGAATGTTTAGAAATCAATGAAGGACTTGGATGGGGGCGGCGATGGCGATGGCGATGGCGATGGCGACGCGACGACAATGGCGGCGGCGACGGCGACGGTAAATGTCTAAGGTCGTTTAGGCTGCGACTGCAGATACGGCGGCTACGGCTGGGACGTCTGTGGTGGCAAAAGTGGACAATACGGACGAAGATTTTGGGCGGACATACGGAAGTGTTACGGTGAGAGATCCAGCGGGATATTGCGTATTGATGAGTGCTACATCGATGGCAATTTCGTCGCTTGGGACAATGGTGTGCGAAGTGGTAACGCTTCGTGTGCTCTCGTCAAAAAGTAGGTACTTGCATTCGTGTACGTGCTCATACAGATGGGCGATATCTCGCTCATGTGACCTCCGCTGCCTTGTGATCTCTCTGTGACTTCGTTATTCGAAACCATGCCAAAATGGTCCGATGTCCTTTTGGTTGGCTAAGTAGCAAGAAATCCTGATCGTCGGCCGTCGTGCGGTTTCTCTTGCATTTTTTACTCGCTCGCTCGCTCGTTCGTTCGTTCGTTCGTACGTACATACATACTTTCGTGGGACTGCGCGTTCCAACACGTTGAGCCCACTAGGTGCCAGGTGCCGGAAGCTGCATGCGTAGGTGTGCTGTGGACCTGCGTACTCACAAAACTTCGCTCGTCGCTCTACGTCGATGTGTCGTTTGTCTGCTGCGCTCGCTTGCCTACACCCGCACGCTCACTCACTCGTTCGGTCGATCGATGATCGTCTACTTATTCGAACTATTCGATTTTCGATTCCATATGAAACTAGTAATGTTTTCAACTTATTTTCTTTTATTGAACTTAAAACACAAACAGTATTTTAAGTAGCATTCTTTGTTGCATTTTACTTACCATATATCCGTATGATAATTTTAAAAATAAATTCACAAATTTCTTATAATTATAGCTATAGCTATATACATATATATCTTAATCATATATACATATATAGTTGCATTAAAATTAATTTAAAATATACCATATGTATGTACATATACATATAGCATATATATAGTTTAACATACAAATACATTCACCCACATAAAAGTATAATTTTTAAATGTTGTTAGTGCCTAATAAATTGAACGCTTTCTTTCTGATTTTTTTTCTCTCTTCTGTGTGTTGCGCAAATATTTCCTTTTGCAATCACTCACATGAAACCCCTATTACAGAGTTGAGGAAACTTTCTTGCCAATAAAACGTTTGCGCGATGAGTTCAACGCGCTATACAGGCACCTCGAGCGCCTGAACAGCCCAGTGGTATTCGCTCACAACGATCTGTTGCTGGGCAATATTGTGTACTTGGAATCGGAGCAGTGCGTCAATTTCATTGACTACGAGTATGCCGATTACAACTTTCAGGCATTCGATATTGGAAATCATTTCTGTGAATTCGCCGGAGTCGATGAAGTGGACTTCTCACGCTATCCGCAGCGTGATTTTCAGCTTGCCTGGCTGCATGTTTACCTGCAGGAATATCTGCAACGCTCACACATCACCGATGACGAAGTGGAACGCCTGTACTTGCAGGTGAACCATTTCGCGCTGGCCGCACACATGCTTTGGACCGTTTGGTCGCTAATACAAGCGGAACATTCCAATATTGATTTTGATTACGTCGAGTAAGTATTACAAGCCTACAAAAATATTCAAGGAGTATTCTCTTAAACTGAAAATAAAAAAATGCATAAAAGTCTAGAAAACAGTGCGAGGGGTTTACAATACCAGTTTGAAGTTGAGAGCGCTATTTATGAAATTTTCGTATGCTTACAATAGCAGCTTGATTTGAAGTTCGACGCTCGTAATGAAATACACAAAACGTTTTCGAAGTTCAACCTCGTCCCAGCACTCTCACCTCCAAGCTGTCATTATAAACCCATGTTTACAAGTCTGTATGAAACATATGTACATTAGGGTGCCTCACCCAAAAAGTTGCGGTTTTATGCCGGAATTATGAAATTTATTATATTTTACATTTCTTTGGAAAAGTACTGAGATTTACGTGAACTGAAAATACCAACAAAAATCGAGTGTTCTTTTATAAATAAATTAGCTCAGCTTAAAATTTTCTAAATCTAAATATTTTTCCGAAAATTTTGGCGGAAGGTTTAAAATACATACATACATACATATAATAAATTTTATAAATCCATTTTGTTTTTTTAGAACAACGTACGCTAATGTATGATTTTCTAGTTTTTCGCTTTCTTTAAGGGAATGCTCTAAGTATTTAATTTGCAACAGAAATCACTACACTTTGATATCTAATTTCAAAAATTTTCATATTTCTTCCAATCCAAAAAATATTACAGTTATGCTCACGTACGCTATGAGGAGTATCAAAAGCGCAAGGTCATATTGGCGTTGGACACTATGCCTGTAGAAGAGGACACAGCTGCTGTGACGAGTTAAGTTCATCTCTAAAACGCCTCAGCTGGCCGTTCGCTCGCATCGCACCTTTCAGCCAGAAAGCGTGAAAGTTTAACTCATCCGCCCGACTGGTTGCCTGTCTGCGATGTAAGCATCGTGTGCTCAAATATCCGAATATGAACGCAAATATAAAATTGAAAAGCTCCTTCTAGCAATATGAAGCGAGAGGGCGTTTTGAATGCACTAGTGTCAAAGTAGTGTCTTTTAAGATACACTCTTAAATTAGCAAAAATCATTCCGGAAGCATTAATAATTTAGAAAACGATTTTTTATGTAATATAAATTATAAATCTAAAATACAATCCAAATATGTATACAAAAAAACAAAAAAAAAAGAAACCCAAAAAAAAAAAACTAAGTTAGTGAAGCAGATAAAGTGTTAACAATGCATTGTGATTTGTTTTCTTTAGTGCGTAAAAAGTAGTTTCTTCCATTATATCCCAATTCTTTGTCCCACTGTAGTGAGTTTGAAACTACAAATTTAAAGTCATAAAGTATACAGGCATGCACTTAGGGCTAAACTATTGCAATAACCTGGCAACACTGCTTCACAGCGTTTCTGTTTGGAACTTTCTGCATTTCGATCGTCATGAGGCCAGCCTCCTTTTTTTTGCTTTGCGGACAAAAAACTTGGAACATTCCACTTTCTTTCTGCGCTAGTGTTCTGCAGGAAATGTTGGTGTTCTGCTGCAAAATGTGAAGATTTTGTTTTTTCTTGTTTTGTTCACTGATGTCCATTTTCTGTCTGCCTGAACCTGCCAGTTTTTGGATGCACGTTTAGTTCCCGAGCATATTTTTTTTTTTGTAATGGTCACTGAAATTGGTCTTGAAAACTTTTCACAATCATTTTTCGTACTTTCAATTCGCTTAACATTTTTAACTGAATTCTGAGCTTACTACGAAGAGAAATTTTCAAACTGAGTAATTGGTAAATAAATTAATGCATGTTTTCAAACGCAGTCCTTTGCATGTCCACTGAAAAAAATCAACTTTTTTGTGCATTATATTTATTTTTAAAGCCCTTGCAGTACAAATCGTAGCATCGTTTTACTTGCATATTCCAGAAATAGGTCCCCTAATGCGTGTGTTAGTTACAGAAAGGTTGTTCTTTTGGAAATTTTCCACTATAAATATGAAAATTGCGGTCAATCGTTCTAAAATCCCCGAAATTTTCGGTTGTCTCCAAACAATAGTTATTATTACATATTTAATTAAAAACATTTTTGATTCATTGCTGCCTGTGAACATTTATTTTTCAATTCTTTGTTGACTAATGTAGTGGTGCTAATTAAGAATATTATAATCAAATTAATTATTTATACATAATTAGGCTTATTACAGCCTCATTGCGAGTGTCGTGTGAAGTGCAAGAAGTATTTCGAGAGTGGAATCGTATCGAAAATTGAATAGCATTGCTTAAAACTTGGCAGCACAGGATAGTTTTCGACGATTTTCGTCGTATACATACTTATTTCTACGCGATTGTAGGCAATGTCAATGTTGTCTAATTATAATTGAAGCCTAATTTACGACCTACGCAATAAGGCTGATTGATACAGTGAAACCCCGATATTACGAAGTTTAAGGCGTTGGACAAATAGCTTCGTTGTTTTTCTATAACGGAACTCTAACCGTCAACATATTCAGAATTCGTTATGTAGAGGCTTTTGAGTCGAGACTTCATTATATAGAAGCTTTTTCTAATGGTACTCCAACCGTCATAATATTCAGAGTCCGAAAGTGTTTATGCTCAAATTCTCTTCGCTATATCAATGCAGTATTTTTGTATGGCAAATTTCCCAACAACGAGATACTTTCAGGGGGCTCAACAAAAATTTTGTTATATTAAGTTTCTTGCTTTTTCGAGGTTCGCTATATCGAGGATTCACTGAATTTTTTAGTGAGGGGCTGTGCGATTTTGCGACTACTCGAGCAAGTTGGTTAATCAGTTGTTCGGTTAATTAATAACTCGAAAAGTCAAGATTTTGATTACTCAAAACGATGATTAATCAAGCTACTTAAAATATGGCTACTCAAAAAAATGAATTTTGGTCGTTAAAAGAGTATGCTTTTGAAAATGAATAACTTCTTTTTTAGAATGTTTATATAAAAAAAAAATATTTTATTTTAATTTTTTGAAAAAAAAACAGAGATCTTTGAAAGTTTGATTACTCATTTTATCCATAATGTTGATTAGTCATAAAGCGAATTAATCAAATATTTAAGTTTATGGTTAATCAAAATCTTGATTACTCGAGTAACCGAACTTTTGAGTAATCATAATTTCCAATTAATTTGATAGTTGTTAGGATTAATTAAAATTTTGAATAATCAATTAATTGCACAGCCCGAAAATTTTTTTTTAAAACTTAAATATGAATAATGAAATATTGATTAGTTGTACTCTACTACTAACAGTGATATTGATGATCACAAACTATGGATATATATGTGTATGTTACATAATAGCAAATTGGTATAAAATCAAATAAAAAAGGAACAAAAATAAAATACAAAAAAATTTTAATTAAATAAAAAAGATGATAATTAAAAACTGAAATTGTAAATTGTAAATTGCGTAAAATACGTTAATATATACATACATACATATATGTATATGTATACAAATATCGCTTATAAAACTATTTAGTAACAATAATGATCATGTTAAAAAAAAAAAACTATTGAATACACCGTGCGACAGTAAATTTTGAAACTATGGGAAAATTATAGTAAAACTACGTACCTAGTTTTTCTCTCTGACGTCAATTTTTTTTTTTAAAGGACTGAAATTTAAAAAATATGATTATTTCAAAAAATTATCTAAAAAATTCACTGCAATGTTGAATAACAATAAGGGTATCATAAAAAAGAAAAAAATCTGTAGAATTATAACGAAATACATTTTTTAGTGCATAAGGCCGATTGGGTATGGAAAATGTCCTTGACAAATTTTGTCCTTAAATATCCTTGAAAATTTAAAATAATTGTTTTTGAAAAAATTATTCGGTGACGAATAATATACAACTTTATTAACTTAAAAAGATAAAATTTATTAAAAGCGCATTTTCAATACCTATTCCTCCATGTAAACCAAATAACTTTATTGTTTTTAAATTCTACAGAATTTTCTCTTTCATTTGGTACCCATATTGTTATTCTACATTGCACTGATTTTTTTAAATACATTTTTTAATTTAACATATCTTTAAGACTTCCAGGTCCTTTGAAAAAAAATCCTGACGTTAGAGTGAAAAACTAAAAATGCAGTTTTACTATATTTGGCTCATAGTCTTGTGAGTATATCGAATCTTTCGTGTGTTTAAATTTTTTTTTTTTGTTTTTGTCGCACGGTGATATCAATGAATATTACACTATAATATCCATGCATACAAACGTGCGGACATGCATAATTATATATTACTCCACTATTATATTATATTAATCATTGTATTGTATATTTTTTAATGTTTTAACATTTATTTTTGGTTTTACTTCAAATAAACGAAATGTATACAAAACCAAACTATGTTTGAATCTTCTACCGTCATACTATTAATAATATTGGGATGAATTACACAGGTTTACAAAAAAAAAAATAAAAGTGTATGCATATTAAACCAAACCTATATATCCCTATGTTATTCGACATGCTGAATGCGAATCCGAGCTCCGTTAACCTCCATCACGTCAGGTTCGTGGTCATTTGAAGGTCAAGTAGGGAAAAATTCATTGAATAAATCTGAAAATTCAATAAAATTCATCGGAATTTGACCTTGGGATGACCTTGGCATGACTTCCAGATGACCTTGAGGAATCAAGGGACCTCCATACTCGGTTTCAGTGACAACAAAAACAATTTTTTATTTTTTTTATTTTTATTGAATAAATTTTATGTCCTATTTGACCTTCAAATGACCTCGAAGCTGACCTTATGGAGGTTAACGGACCTCGGATTCTTAAATGCGCACTTACGCTAAATCATCAGATGACCCCTAAGTAAATTTAACCCTCTAACCTCCATTTTTAATGAACTTACCTATCTAGTACCTCTTTGAAACGAGGGTCACAAAGACTCATTACGATGGTAGGGGTTTAAGGGGCCAAAACGTTATGTAAATTAACATTTTAAAATAATTAATGAGCAAAGCTATTAGCTACCTAAGTAATTTTTATCAGTTTTTGGAAAACTGGGTCAGCTAGCGTAACGCGTAACGGACGTGTTTGAATCCTCAGTGGTCATTTTGTAGAGTCTGAGTCTCCTAAGACAGACAAAGCTCTGTCTCGTGCGGTCGTGTGCCCATACCGGCATTCACAGGTCGAGAATCTCTCGGTATGCAGTTGGGTCCAGAAGTTGTCTTATGAACCTCTGGACTTCGTCCGTCAGTTCGTAGAGATGCCTCCTGACGTGCCTTGGCGAGGGCTCTTCTGCAAGCAGTTGTCTGCTCGGGTGCCCACGTATGCGGCGCCCTATTAGGAACTGCTTGCAGAGCATTGTTATGCTCCTTGAAGGGAAGCATCTGTCCCTCGTAATGTAGATGGTTTTGAGGCCACATAAGAAGGCATCCTGTCGCGCACCGTTTACTTTCGAGCAGAAGTTTCAATTCCATTCCCGGACGCCATTATCGAGCAGTCGTCAGTGCTCCAACGATATTGTATTACTCGTCATTTAAACACACATTTTTCGGATTATGACATACGTGAACGTACTCTTTATCCCCTTTAGCTTATAAGACTGCCGTATCACGAAATTTTCTTTCGTATGGTTTCGATCTGCGAACGGATGTTACTATTCGAGTCCAGCATAAGAGACAATCGAGACTCCCTCTGGTTGTTGAGAGAGCTTTGATATATAAAAATTAAACAGCAGCGGGACCCCCTGTTTAATTTTCCTTAGTTTGCTGCTTTTTTCTCTAAAAATTACTGACAAATGTCGACCTCAGATAATTCGCCGACCACCCTGTGAGTCCTTCGGGGAGAGAGGTAGTCTCAATGTATTGTAGTAGCGTGGAGTGACTGACGGTGTCAAACGCCTTTGACCGATCCAACGCTACTAAGACTTTTCTCACAGGGGCGGTTTCGGTTAAGGTCACGTGTTATCTGGGTGTTTATGGCGTTAAGTGCTGTGAACTTAACGGGGCCCATGCTTATGCATCGCTGGGGTCAGGTGGTACGTGTAATGCGATAGTAGCAAGGCCTCAAGTGTCCCTTGTTGGACGGTTTCCCCGGTTTGAGCAATGCGACCACCCTCCTGGTTTTCTGTATATCTGGATCGATGAGTGGCCATGGACAAATTGAAGACCTTGGTGAGATAAACTACTCTCGCAGGACCCAATTTTTTCAGCTTCAGCATCCACATTCCGCAGCTCCGAGTCCGACGAAGCATGTTCACCGAAAGAGACTTCCACTTTCCGCTTCGTCGGGTTGGACAGTGACCTCACGGTTGACCAAAGCTTCTTCACATGAGAGGTGAAGTTACGAGTCTTCAGATGCTCTTCCCACTTCTCCAGTTATGTACGTTCACAAGTTGCCGAATCTTCGTATTGAGATTCCTAATGCATGGATTTCCGGTATAGGCCTGGCGAAGGTTGTCACGCTCATCGGGGTCCGAAATACATCCAGCCGGGATGAAGTGGACTGCAGCGGCAGTGACAACGCAGCAGAACTTACGTTTACATACGTGAACGTCGGTTGGTGTGGGGCGGGCAGAGAAGGTGCTTTCAGTAACTTTCGCAAAGCCGTTCAGTCAGCATTGGAAAAGTTGACGTAGGTTCGGTGTTCCGCGGAAGCAAAGTCGGCAGGTTTATCAATCGAGATGATTATGGACAGGTGGTCTGATGTTAGGGTCAGCATAGTCGCCACGTTATGCTGTTTATCAGACCAGCGCTTACGATGGTTATATCAGGCGCGCTACTGCAACTGCCCATTATCATGGTGGGTGCGTCGTCGTTCATTGTGCAGAATGTCGAATCGTTTATCTGCTCAGGCTTGTATTCCAAAGATCGTGGTGCGCGTTAAAGTCACCAACCGATCGATCTTACTCTGGTGGGAGTGCTGTTATGGCTGTGTGTGTGTCTATTTTTGCGGTGTCGTTGTGTTGGCGTTGTTTTGCTAAACGGAGTTAGATCGCCGAAACAACAGCCCTTGGTCGGGTAAAACCCCAGTCATTCCGGTACGTGGAACCAGCTGTAGTTTTATCAGCTCAACTTAATCTTCAGTAGTTACCGCTGCTTGCAATTTTCTCTTTTTCGCAACATTGACTGCCTCTTCCGTGTGGTGAGACACCTGTTCAAGTGGGCCAAATTCTGTACTGAAAATCTGTATTTAACTGCCGATTCTGAGTTAACTACGCACTGTAAATTCGGCCTTAAGTTACAAAGAATAAATATGATGTTTTAAATTTTTTCATAGATATTTATTATGTTTCATATATTACTTTTGTATATATTTTTAGGATAAAAATTATTTTTATATGCTGTTTAAAATGTGTTTTGTTCAACGCATCAATGAATCGATATAATGTGTAATATTGTATAATTATGTAGTTACTATACCGCCTGTATATCATAATTGCTTGTATATATATTATATATAGTTATGTATGTATATTATATTTAATAAAAATGGGGGTAAGAAGTTTTACTATCACAACACATTTCCAATTAAGAAATCGTATGTCGACAAAAAAATTTAAATATTTTATCTAAATTATAACAATAACTTGGCTGCTTCATTTCATTTGCAATGCTACTATCCTTCCTCTAAAAATTCAATTCATTATATTTAGTAGGTTTACATGCATATGTTCTAGGTATGCGGAAATGACAATATTTATTCGTTAAATAGTGGTAAATTAAAAACGATATCACTTCAATGTGGTTGATTGGTGGTTAAGTTGGGAGTTCAATTCATAAATAACTTTCTTGTCAATATTTAGCAGGCATCTGCAAAAATCCTTGAAAATGTTTACATATAAAGCCTAAAAACTAACGATATATTCGCTGAATTATTTTAAAGTATTCTGTTTCTTATGCATACATATGTATGTGCGACTGCGTTTTAACATAAACTTTTTTTTATTAATAGCACGCATTTCTGCCATTTTAATATAATCTCAAATTCTATTTTTTTTATCTGTATGTATATTTCCACAATTAATTTGGCTTTTCTCTTTATTATTAACTAATTTTGTTAAACAGTTCTATTTAAATAATAGCACGTGCACTTAATGAGTGAATTTGTAATTTTGTTAATTTTTTTTAATAATTTCGACGGTATTCGATTTTGCATTTCTTCATTTTCATAATTAAATTTTCTTGTTTCTAATATTATCCGTTTCTGCCATAGTTAAAGGAGTGCTAAATCCAGCTGACCAGATAACTTCGTTGCCTAACTGACACACATACATACATGTGCACGCATTTCTGGCACAGCATTGTGGGCATTGTTAGTTTCTTCGTCTACCACAAATCTGTTTTTCTAAACGATTTTGTGCCAATGGCAGCACTTGTCACCCGCACCACTCATAACCGCAGCTAATCGCCACCTATTATTTGCAATACGCTTGGGTAATTCCATTATTGGCTATTGATAGCCTTCTCCTCCGTCGGAGTAGCAGCAGGACCACTAGGTGCTGCCTCCGGGGACTCTATGGCCCTTGTTACGGCCGCTGATGCATCGCTTGTGGTTGCCTCGTTGTTTGTAATGCGAGGTTGTGTTAGGATTTTCATAAAGTATTCACCGAAGACGGAATGATTGTAGGCAATCACGCGTTTTAGGGCAGTGCTATAAGCCTCCAACTCATCTTTGAAGTCAGCATAGCCTGGCGGTGGCGGTGGCAAACCAGCTCTAGAGCGCATAGCCAAGCGGAAGTAGGTTTGAAAGCGTTTCCCTGTTGATATAAGAGTAATTAGCAATTGTATTTTATTTATAATTACTAACCGACTTCAAAAAAGGAGGAGGTTATCTATCAATTCGTCGGAATATTTTGTTTTTTAAGGAAATGTGGTACCTCAGAGAGATGGTCCCATACTAGATCCGATCATTGCATCATGAAGAAATTTAAGGAACTTTTAAATTTTTATATGAGAATTGAAGTCGGTTTTGTTTTTTTGCTTAAAAATTACTTGTATGTATGAACAATTGTCCACAAAATAATAGGAGTGCGATATTTTGATCAGTTTTGACTATTTATCTTTTGTTTATTTTCTGCCTTATTATGTATCTCGAACGAGAGGCCGCCCGAACGATTCGTCTGCAGACGACATCGTATCTGATTGAAATTTTTTATTTTAACATGCTGAAAAATCCCGTTTGTTTTTCAGAATATTTGTGGTTGTAGGTGTTTCGCATTTTTTTTCATACAAAGTATGTTCGACAATTTTCTTTTACTTATATGGAAGACACTGCCAGCAAAAACATTGTCAAAAATCAATGGGATGTTTTACCAACTTGAAACTTGCACTTCATTATACTACAACTTAATAGGCTACAAAGCTGCATAACATATTTTTTTCTAAACATTAAATAAACAAACGACAAATATGTGGTCCAAACTGTAGCTTGTTTCTGTAACAATTCTCTACCAAGGCGAATTCATATATGATTGTTCTCTACTGCTAATGAATAGTAGAGAATGACGTATATTCTTACAGAAACGAGCTACTGGTCGAAATATCTCACTGCTATTATTTTGTATACTGTATAGAGCGTGTTAGTCGTGGCAATATTTCCAACTTTTCCACGGAATTCGCTGTCAAATTGAGACAGATAAATTTTATTTCGATGTGTGAACAGCCAAAAAGACCTTTCTGATACATTTCGGAAATCGGTTTCAGAAATAAAAGTTGCAAGATGTGACTGCAATTGAGAGAGCGCATATCGATTTCGGAAATACATACAAATATTTTAACTTGCTCATGCTGCACTAGCAATCTGCAATTCGCATTTCGGAAATAAAAAACCTTTCGAAAGACATTTTATATGCAAGGTGTGACTGCTCAGGCAACTTCTTTCTAAAATTTCTCAATTTGGCAGCCTTTTCGAAATATATTGCATTGACAAGCTCTTATGTATGCAAGTGAGCATTTAATATAACTTACACATTAGTGCGCGCACAGGTGAATCTTTGTTACCCGTTTGCAATATCTGTAACTTCAACATGCCTTCCGTATTAGCGTCCATCACAGGCTGATTGTCTTTTTGCAAGTATTCGTTTATAACAGATTTAACTTGCAGCCAAACATTTTCAACCGAATCCAAGAGCTCTCTACAAGGAAATAGCACAAAGTAAATTGAAATCCTTTCTATTAGTTCCCTCCTTTACTTACCTCTCATTGGTCGTGCCTTGGAAGATAATTTCAACTTGCTTGGCGAGTGCGGCACGATTTTCTGAACGCTGCGAAATAATCGGTACTGCCGAGCAAATAGAAATAACTGCAGCACATGTACAAATACGTTTTGCACGTTGACCCAATTTTAAAATACGTTCCTTGTCAATTGAAAGCACCTCTGGAAATTCTTTTGACTCATCCCAATCCATGAGCTCCATGTAGGCATTGGAAATGGTTTGCTCTGGTGAGCAGGGCACATTGTTGGCATCATGCATGCAACTGTTCTTCAACCAGTTTTCAGTAGCCGGGAAGCCAACTAGACAGAAGAGAGAAATTTCAATGCTATGCTTAATAAATTTGGTTGCATTTTTGCACTTTTTTTTCTTACATTTGTAATACTCTAAATATTCTTTAAATTTCTGCTTCTCATACTCCACCGAACTGGCCATTATGTCGTTGCGCGCAAAGTCCAATAAACAGTTCACCATATCTAATTTCATTAGCGCCATAGTTTCGAGTATATTCTTAAAAGTATCCACCACATCTTCAATTTCGGTCAGCTGGTGCACAAGTTCATCCCTTGCGGGTGCACATGACTTTGCCATAATATGTATGACAAAATTGGCATATGATCGGAAATCGAGCACACCCTCCTCTGCCTGTTGCTTTATAACATCGATATCAAGTATCTCATTGATGTGCTCCAAAGCGCGTGTATTATTTTGCGAAAGAATTTGGGGAAAACAATCTTTAATCTCGGCTAGCAATTGGATAGCGTGATCGTAACAAGGTGGATTTTCATTCAACTGGTTGCGCAGCACATCCCAGAAGGCCTTGTGCATGATGTCCTTGATGCGACGTTCAAGGCTAAAGGTAAAGTAGAAAATAATTGTCATGTGTTAGTCCAAATGTGAAAGTTGTGGTGGCATTAATGCCTTACCTGTTCTCTGGTGGTTCATATGGCTCAAACTTAAACTCTGGGTTGATCGCAATTTCATGCACCAGCTCCATATTCTGGATATTTTTTAGCACATCACCCACTTCGTGGAGTGTAAGCACCTTCGGTGGACTACCGTCCATACTGGGCAAAATGAAACGTGCCAATCTGTTTAAAATATTATAAATTATATTTTAAAAGAAGTTAATGTGCAACGATATAGTCACTTACTTATCAGAGCTTTCACTCTCAGTGCGGATACGTAAACTTGAGGCACCAGGTGAGGTACCAAGCAAATTCTCGGGCGTATTAGCCTCGCCACCAGAACCGGACGAGTTCATTCTGAAATGAAGTATAGTTTTGTGCAATATACTGATACCGATCTATGATTAATTGGCAAAGAAGATTAGAGTCAGCGAGATTGCATTCACCAAATTGAGCTACATATTTTATATTATAGTCTCAGTTTTACAATACATTTTAGTTTTATTTTAGACCTATTTTGCATATTTTAAAAATGTTTTTGATTTAAAAGATTGGCTTGTTTAAATGTAAAAATAATAATAATTTAAAACACCATATAAAATGCTTTAAATATACGCGTACGATAACGGATAAATATAAGCTATGTAAGTAAATCCACAATCGCCCTACAAATTTTTTTGGTCATTTTATGGAAAGTTTCACGCATGAATGTACGGATTTTAGTGCATATAATATACTATATTGAATATTCATATTCATTTTGACTAATTAAAATACCTAAGCACACACATAGTTCCAATTACATATGAAACAATTTAAGCAATTGCGCAGTAAAGCAGAAAACCAGTAATTGACGGCAGTCAGTAAGCCATGTAAAAGAAGCAACAAATATAAGCATTTGCAAACTTCTATTTCGTAAATTTCTTCGGTCATTCAAAATTTATTTATGTATTTACATATGTACATATTCAACTATACGCCACCCTCTTTTCAACTCGGTGTTTTTCATAATAGGATTTTTATAAATTTCCTGGTAACTCACCTTGAAACCGAATCAGCTGGCATTTTAGCGACGTTTATGTTTTAATTTGGTTTTTTTTTGTGTTGAATAACTTTTTATTTGTTATTACTCCCTACTTGGAATGGGCAAAAGCAACAACTTTGCGTGCTGTTCCGCGTCCAATACAAAGAAAAATATTGCGATGTGGCTTTGCGACTTGTAAAGTGGTTTTACCTAAGTTGGCTCGTTAGTTGCTGGCACTCTTTGCTGTTCTCACAGGAGAAATTAAAAGTTCAATGCTTGATTGGTAATTTCTTTGTTTGTATCTCCTTATTTTCCAGTCCAAGCACACTCAACTTACACATACATTCCTTCTTTGGATAAATGGCAGTTTCCTTTGTTTGATCAACGCAAGTTGCAGTTTTAACTTTTGCAAGCACGGCGTTCGATTTAGTCACCAGTGTTAACGAGGCTTGTTGCACTTCACTCTTTTTTTAAACTGGAAATGAGGGCAAAATGTTTGTGTAACAAAAACGAGCCTTTTCTTAAATTAAAGAGAAATTAATTAGTTATAAAACCGAAAATTAAACAAAAACCACTACAGGGTTAGCTAGGATTTTAAACTTTTCTGAAATGATTCATACCTAAGCCCGTTAACTTATTTATTTTTGGCTATAGTTAAATCAATAGTTAAATTTAACTCGAAGAAATTTCAGCATGTTCTGTACATAAGTTTAACTAATAATTTAACTATACTTTAAAATAGATAAGTTAACGGTACTTAATAAAACTGAAAATAAAGATTTTATATGTACATATGTATGTACCACTAGATTTCAAATACAATCTATTTTGCTTGGTTTTTATTGCACAATTTCCTTCTGCCATCAAATATCAAGACTTGCCAAGTTAAGGTTCCCACGACAATGCGAACTACTTTACTACTTTGCAAATATAAATCGTTGGTTAATTTGTATGCTGTTACAACAATAACTTGTCAAATCAGAGGTTCGGCGCTTAATGCCAATTCCAATGCCCTAAGTGCATTTTCACATTAGGTAGTATGTAATTAATACTAGCGCATCTCATAAGACGTTTTTTTTTATTATCTCACCAGATCTAATGCGAAATTTATTTAAAAACCTTGCCACTTTCTTTCGAAGTAATAATATTTATTAATACAATTTCAAGGGCTTTGTTTTTTGAAAACCTACAGATACACCTCCAGCTGCTGCCCTACATTTCTGCTTTACACAACCATAAAACACTCTGGTTATTGTAATGCTTGTGAAATAAACAAAACTCTAAGACAAAGCAGCAACCGAAAACAAATTTGGAAACACACAAAACTTTGCAGTGCGCTATTCAAGGAATATATACAAAGCTATCTGGATGGATATACACATATACATTTGTACTAAGTATAGATACAACGACCATATACATATGTAAATCTATGTTTGAATTTAATGAATAGAAATTGCTGCTGACGGCATTGCTCGTAGTGATATGGTGGTCCGCTGGTGGTTTGAACGCATGGTGGCTGATTGGGAAATAGTGACAAGGACGTAAAAGTGGATGAATTGCGAACAAACACATAAATACATACAAACACACAAAGCAGAAAAATTATTTACTTTAAAGTAGGTGGGTGTATGTATACGGGGAGGTATAATGTAATATTGCGAAAGACGAGGGTGACTTTTTGGGTCATACACACACTGTAAGATTTAGCAAACAAAGTGTGTATTAGCGAATGTAAAATTAAACACTATATGTGTACCCATACAAATATGTGTACATATTACAGTTTAAACCATGATAAAAACATGGTTTAAACTACAGTTGCAGTTTTAAACAATAGTTATTGTAACATTTAAGTACGAATTATTTTTGGAATGCATAAAAATATACATACATACCTACTACCTTGGCTACGACAGAGAACGTTCTCTGGCTACGATATCACCCTTTTTCAAGTACGAGTAGTACTCAGCGTCTTCGTTCCACTTTGTCGCTTTTAAATTAAACGCAGTAGTCATTCACTGTGGCATAAATTATAGCTCAAGTTTTTTATACACATCAATTTTTCCCATGAGTTTTAACCATTAACTTAAGCACCTCGTTACGCTTCTTTACTGTGATTTTTCAATGGTGGCTATTTGTTACAATGTGGGATAGATTAGTCACAATTAGTTTAGTGCTTTTTTTCTGAATAAATGCAAAGGGGGAACTTTTTTATTGTTTAAAAAGCGTCCACAAGGTTCGAGAAGAAAATACAGAATGAACAGAAAATAAAAGTAATCAAAATAAAGCATGACAGATATGTCATCAAATTTTGTTTTGCGGAATTTCATCGCTCTTTTGTCGTGCGCTCTCGGTGATGCCATCCAGTCAGTGATCGGACTCCAACCACATTGTGGTAGATCTGCAAATTTTTTGAGCATCTACCACACAAAGTTTGAAATTTACCAAATATTCGGGTTTTTGAGTAGTTTTATTTTTGCTCGACATATTTTTTTTAATTTTAAAAGCAAAAATTGTCCTACACTAAACACTAACTTATGCAGCGTTTTTGCTGCATTTAAAATGCAACTTTTAGCACTTTCGAACATATGTTTTCGAAGAGCGTTCATGCTACCGCATTTAGCAAATGTACATTTACGCGAGTTCGAAATCGTATGCTTTTGACAAACAGCCGTGTTCCAGTCGCTTATTCAGATCCGTATCTATTACGATAAATTCTCACGGAAAAGATAATGTGCGAAACCCCAACTGAAAAGGAAAAAATAAATTTCAAACCAAAACTTCAATACAAAAATTTGAATTGTTTTAACCATGACCGACCATTTGTTTTTGTTTTATTCATTTGTCGGTGCTGTCAATTAAAATTTCTTCACTTAATTAGGAAACAAAACAAACAGAATTGATCACAAATTGATCCAGATTTCTATCAGCATCACATCGATATTGAATTTTCTTAACTTTTCTTTATCCAAATAATGTAAAATAATAATTGAAATCTCGATCGGCAATCACTGAAACGCAGCTAGCCACTGTATACTCGAAAATACAATGTTGCCACTTTTTCTCATTAAACCATGTTCGAATCCACGGTGTAGCGAAACGAAGGTGGCGCCGTCAGAGGTACCGCTACTTTGGTTTTGCCGATTTTGACAGTTGTGGTAACTCGTAAATAAACTTTTGTTTACAAATCAGTGGCATAGAGAAATTTGAATTATTAGTGAAAAATCGGTTTAAATCGTGTTAATTTGCAATTCGTTAGTGATTTTTCAGTTGAAGATTGTGTAAAAACTGATAAAATAAAGTGCCGTGTATTAAATTGCGACAGCCGTGAAGGTAGTGCCACGAAATAAGCCATTCAATTTGGATACCAGCTTCATATGCATGCGCTGTTGTCCTTCCATGAAGTGCACCATGGTGCCCATGAACGAAAGACATGCATGGTGCCCCATCTCATTATGCGTAGATGCAAGTGTAGCGCTGCGACGAATCGCTGCATTTTGTGTATATAGGGCGCTGCAAAGCCGTTCCCGAAATTTTTTTTTATTATTATATTGACAGCATTTTATCAGAGTCATATCCCTTCTGCTCCAAGCAGCCTCCTTTAGCAAGTTAACTAATCAATCCCACTCAGATGCTGGCGCAGTTTGCTGCACCAGCCTTAATTGCAAAGCAATGGAGTTCACTAAAACGTTTGCTGCAGCAGCCTTAATTGCAAAGCATGGAGTGCACTAGAACGTTTGCTGCAGCAGCCTTAATTGCAAAGCATGGAGTGCACTAAAACGTTCACTATTGTCCAATAGATTATATGAAAAATGCAATATTTTCGCATTGATCAAAATTAAAACACGTTTTTCGCTGTAAAGTGAACTGTTTTGACAGTTTCAACTCGTTCTACTTTTGTCTCTATTCTTTGTTTACTTGTGGTACACAAATGTCAACGGCCAGGACGGCGCAATCTTGTATTCTATCATTCTTGGTTCGAATCGTGGAAATTTTGGAAGATCACAGGGTTGCTTTTAGCATTTAGATTCTTAATGCAAAAATGGAGTTGCATTTAGTTGCATTTAGGTGACGAATTTTGTATGGATAAATGTACATTTAGAGTAGCATTTAGAGCTAAATGCGCTAAATGTGCTTTTACGCGTAAGCAAAAACAGCCCATTATTATTAGGGTTTACACCGGACAATACTGTCATAACAATAGCAATACATGCACACCTTTTCACTAAAGCGAAGCGCACATTGGCGCGATTCTGTCGTTGTGAATCCGCAAGCCCAAAAATTACAACAATGCTACCCATACATTTTAATGCGCTAGCGCACACTTGCACGATTCCGTCGCTGCGAATTTTTCGAACATTAAATGTTCCTCTCACGGTGCAGCGAACAAAGGTGGCGCCGTCAGTGGTACCGCTACTTTGGTTTTGCCGATTTTGACAGTTGTGGTAACTTGTAAATAAACCTTTGTTTACAAATCAACGAAAGAGAAAGTTGAATTATAAGTGAAAAATCAGTTTAAATCGTGTTAATTTGCAATTTGTGAGTGATTTTTGAGTTGAAGACTGCGTATACAATGAATACAATGAAGTGCTGTGTGTTAAATTGCGACAACCGTCAAGATGCAAGAAGCGTAGATGCAAGTGTAGCGCTGGGACGAATCGTTGCATTTTGTGTACATAGGGCACGGCAAAGCCGTTCCCGAAATGTTTCTCTATTATTTATTACCAGCATTTCCTCACAATCATTTGGTTTTTGCTCCACGCAGCCTCCATTAGCAAGTTAACTAATCAGTCCCGCAGAGACGCTGCTGCAGTTTTCTGCACCAGCCTTAATTGCAAAGCAATGGAGGGTACTAAAACGTTTGCTGAAGCAGCCTCAATTGCAAAGCAATGAAGTGCACCACAATGTTCACTGTTCTCTAATAGATTAGGTGAAAAATGCAATATTTTCGCATTTAGCAAAATTAAAACACGTTTTTCGCAGTAAAGTGAACTGCTTTGGCTGTTTCAACTCGTTCTTCTTTTCGCTCTATTCTTTGTTTACTTGTGGTACACAAATGTCAACGCCCAGGACGGCGCAATCTTGTATTCTATCATTCTTGTGTTCCTCTCTATTGACGCGTTCGAAACGCGGCTTGCAGCGTTTTGAAGGCGTCAAAGAAGAAGAAGAATGGTGTCACAGCAATAAAGGCAAAGAAAAAAAAACGTGTAATGTACAAAAACTAATAAAAACGTTAGTAATAATAGTATTTTGTACGATTTGGGCACGCCGAGTGCGAAAATACACGAAATAAAGGGAAAATTGAGTGAACTGTACATCGGAAATCGACGCGAAAAAATCGCTCAAGTGTGCGCACGTTTGCGGATTCGAAGTTAACAGCCGAATTCGCAACGTATTCGCAACGATGGAATCGCGCTAATGTGCGCTTCGCTTAATACATGCATACTTTTCCATTGCAACAATTTTTTATTTTTATTTATTTATTCATTTATTGACAGCCTTTAAAGGCCTATAACAAGTCTGAAAATTTACAATATTTGCTTACTATTTTATTTGGTACAATTTTGGGTTTATAGTTTTTACATTGATATATGCATACATTACATCACAGGATCCACAATCATACATGAAAACAATATTCTTATTTCACTACATATTTTGTTCTTACACATTTTTTTGAGAGGACTATCCTAACATTTATCCTGTACAAATATATATACATTTAAACAAGGTAATTTTATTAATTATATTAAATTAAATTATAAGTGTGACCGTGGCTGTCGGAATGGACGGGATCCCGAGCAGCCCGAATGTTGGGTACTGTTTAGGTGGGCGGCCCGAAAGGACGAGTTCCAGAGCCGCACTTCCTGTACCATTGCTGTGGACTTTATTCCAAGTCGCAACTTCACTTCAGGCTTTGTGGTCATATGTAAAGGCTATAAAGTAATTTGTGATCAGTCGGAAAGTACTAGT